GGGATTAGTTTTAAGATATGGAACAATGCTGGCTGAAGCACAAAGAGGGTAGGACGGGGGCAGTGAGGACGGGGCACTGGGTACGGGGGAAATACGGGACGGGGTAATGGAACGCGGGGTTTCCGAAACGTGGGGCTAATGACGCGCGGCTTTTGCGACAGGGATTCTGCACGCGAGGCAATCGTGCTACACCCATAATATGGTAGTCACTGTAAAAATAAAATATTGTATTTAAGAGACAGAGTGTAGGTGTACTCCGTTCACCTGTAAGCTGATAAGGCACCGAAAGCTGCAACCACACCCGCCATCCCGCTAGCTTACTGCCTCCGGATACGATCCCTGGAATTGTGCAGACAAAGCTAGCGGTGCACATGTTCAGTAGCACCGTCTACATTCGCTATGAGATTCGCAGCTAAAGAAGCGATCTACAAAAGCTCCCTTTTGACTCGTGTGTTTCGCCTGGTATTCACAAGAAAAAAAACTTGTTCTAACATTAATATGTATAGCATAATGTAGAAGGCAGGTGTCTCAGCTTACCTTGATGTGATTCCGTAGATTAGAGTTTAAATGGGCGGTAGCTTGCACCACCCAGCCTAACATTTCGTCATCCGTTCTTTTTTAAAATTTTTATAAATTTTGTTTTAACACAGCCCTCCCCTCCCCCCTTTAACGTGTTTCCAATGCTTTTTTTTTCTGTATTGTTACCCCTCCCTAGGTCTGTTCCACCAATCTTCCAATCTCCCCTTAGTCACCGCAATTCTTTCGCTATCCATTCGTCCATGTCTGCAAATCCCAGTCCCCCTCCAAATCCGTAGTCACCTCCCGCCCCCCAAGAGAGTGGGACGAAGCCCCGGGCACCTTAAAATTACATGTTCTATAGTTTGCCTTTCGCGGTTGCACATGTCGCATAGAGTTTCTATTTCCTGGAATTTAGCCCTATTGTTTTCGTTCTTAGCACATCCGTTCTAGCTTCAAACGGCAATGAGCTCCCCAATGAATTATTATACCATTGGTCCTTCTTTATTTATAGTTTTGTACCCTGTATATTGTAAAAGCTTATTTCCCCTGCATTCTCTCTTCCCACAATTTCCTCTGTTTCTATTACTCCTTTTTGTATTGATATGCTCTGATCGGCCCACCCAGTGTGTTTAGATTTCACCTTGCGGGTTCGGTTTGTCCACTTAGTGTTTAGACGTTTCATATATAGATACTCGTACACTTTCGCTGCCCACAATGTATCCTCAATTTCAGCCAGTCTTTGTTCAAATTTTATTTTACTGTTCGCGTCTCTACTCTCGAAAGATGCCGAACCCATTTCCCCCTGTACTCCCTCATTTTCTGTATTCCCTTGTGCCCCCAATGCCAATTCCCTTGTGCCTCCACTTCTTGATGTTTACTATTTTGTTGAACTTGCTCTTTTTATGCTGCTGAATGTTCTGCTCGAATTGTTCAAGTTATTGTATTATGCTCATATTTCTTTTTAAAGGACCAAGCAGTTAAAGTAATCCGTTACCAATATTTTGTAACAAAAATAAATTACAAATTACCTCCGGAAAAAAGTAGCGTGGAATTTACAAAAAATGCTTTAAAAAGTTACGGATTACAAGTAATCCGTTACTTCTAACGTATTACTTCCCAAGTCTGCTCCTACATACCCTCTTAATTTTAGTTGTAGGCTGATCTGTTTGCGGTTGTAGGCTGATCTGTTTGCAAATTCGTTCCGGTTACTTCCTTTTCGTCGCGTAGACGGAGACGCTATACGCCGGCTGTTGACAGGCACCGCGAAGCAAGTTACAGGGTGGCGCCTGTCGATCGCTCCGTCCCATGGGCATTTTTCAATCGGCTGTACAAAGATGTTTAGGAATGTTTGCTTTAAAACTACCGTCCACATCTGTGCTGTCAATTTGTCTTTTCCTGACCAGCCCGTAGCATTTTTACGCTTTTTTAATAATAATGAAATTGTGGAGAACGGGTATGTGCACGTCAATTTAGTCACATTTCTCGCTTTATAACTTCAAAGCCACACAAATATTGCATCATGTTTTTGGAGATTCAGTTAGTACATGTAATAAATGTTAATTTTAGAAAGTTTAAGTAATATTAAAGATGATATTTTTGTTGAATGATTTTCCAAATATTGAAAATTTAGTTCCTGTGTAAACAATTTTTGTAAATTTCTCCCGCTAGCCAGGACAAAAATATTTAATACAAAGATGAACTATATACAGTGAAACACACTGGCATATTTTGAAGAGCTTAGCTTTTATAGATACCGAGGAAAAAATAATCCAGAGCGTTATTGCGCAATGTGCCATATTTGCGATTTTGTTTCTCAAAATAGCGACCTTAATACCCGATAATTAATACTTTTTGTCAATTTTTCCTATACCTAATTTGTCAGTAAATATTTCTAGACTGGTAGCAAGAACAGTTTTTTGGGGGAAGCCGCCCGAAATGCCAACATCACGCGATACGCAAAACGCGCACGTGACTGGGAGGGTGCTTACAAATGTTTTTCGCAAAGACAATTTTTTTTCCAAAACAAGGATTCGTTTTATCCTTCTGGCATAGGGCCAGCAAAATATTTTTTTTCATCAAAATTAAAAATGATCATCGGACATGGTTGTTCAATATTATCTGAAAACGCCCACCAGTTTTTCTCTTAATTCCGGCTGCTGGATACGGATTCCAGACTGTATTAGCGTATTTAAAAATAAAAGAGGCCGCATGGTTGCTGTTCGGTTTTCTGCGCTTTCGGCTAATTTCAACGTGCACCTAAGTGCGAAATTAGCCGCCCTAACAATGTCATCTATATGCTGATTCTAGCTTATTTTTCTCGTTATCGTCGACTCAAGGTACTTGCAGTTCTCTACTTATCTGATGATGTTTCAAGTGATCGAATAAATATATTTTAAATATATTTGTCGGGCAAATCTCACCGCAACATTTTCTTAGTAGTTTTTTTTTTTTGCCAAACTTCATTAAGTTTTCCTTCATCTTGATAAGACTTTATTTCGGAGCAAATAACAGAACCATCTGCACATAACTGAAGGGCTACTTCAGTGTTTGTAACAAGAATAATTGATAGAAATAATAATAAGAGAATAGGCCACAGCACTGAGCCCCGTGAAACTCGCGAAGGTACTGAAAACGATGCAGCAGTTATCTTCATTGAAACATACATATTGGATACTACCAGGTTCTATCAAGAACATGAAACCCTGTTTTTCAGCCCGAATAAACTAGTAAGTTGCAGAGAGCTCAGACGTTGAAACAATGTCAAGCTAGCGATTGGAGTAGGATGCAAACGTTTAAGAACTTGACGTTACCTGGATAAAAAAATACGAGGGAGAAAGGAAATTTCTCTGCCGACCTCCACCTATAGTCATATATTTGTCAAAACAAAAAATAACACTGGGTGCCTGTTGCATCTATTTCAGTGAAATAAACGTCTTAACAAGAAAGACAATTTTTTGTTTCTAATAGCTAACAAGCTTGTTTTCTAAAATAATTGCAGCAGGTACACACAGAGTTGTTCCATCTCTTGACAAAATTACAGATAATTACACCTTTCACATGCTTGGAACGGCGAAATTGTACCTAAAAATGTGTTTTCCGTTTTACGGAGAAGTATCATCTTTGTAAATGTGTCGGGAATAATTAACTGTGTGTCATGATGTTGGTGTAATAAACTTCTGGGACGATACCACAAAACAATTTTGTTTGTGTATGCGATTCATATCCAACGACTGATAAGTTTGCACGGAATGCCATGCAACCTTATGTTTCTGCGTACCTCCACCTGGTACGGCTCACATCTGTGAGACGCAGTATCTTTTAATGAATAAATACATACACATATAGAAAGATGTTTTGATGGATTTCGCTCGCTGCGGTTCTTGAGTAGCTGCTGTGGCCGTGGTTGCTCCGAAGCGGTGGCCCGTCGGATCCGGCTCTCGCTTGAGCGTTCATAGGGGTCTTGGTCCGGCGGGAAAATGATGACGTCTTTCACTCTCGTAGCATCTGCCGATGCTGATGACCTCGCGAAATTTGGTCGCCTGTGCAGTGATATTTGTGCGGGCCTGCTTGTGAGAACCACGATTCTGGGTCTACAAAGCCAGAATGTCAGCGATCACGTTCCGACTGCGGCTACCACTGAAAGCACGATAGCGACGTTTATTGCCGGCACCGGGCCTCCCGAACGCGCTCGCTGCCCTCTGCATGTCCTGCTCTGACATAGCCTCCTCTAAGCTAACAAAGCCTGGCAGTTCGACGACGAAGCAATAGAGTGCCCGGTCGCAGATTTGGAGCGCGAGGATCTTGTTGCACAGAGCATTAAAGAGCCATTTCTCGGGGAACCTGGATGTCAGCGCACAGCTTTTTGAAGCCGCGAGGACCCTAAACACATTTGATCGCTTGGGAGAAGTGTGTTTAGGCGTCTCGACGACAGCACGTGACATACACGTGCTGTTCATTGGCGCCCCCTAGCGTAGCTCTCGCCGCGAATACCACTGCTGAAATTACATCTGCTCCTGAAATTGTAAAGTACATTTGGCGAGATTAATGAGGAGGTAGAGGCGAGTGACGTAGTCATTGTCCATGAAGATATCAACGGTTAAGTGCCTTTTTTTAATTTTTGCTTTCTACGCAACAGTGCAGGCCAATCCTGGAAATAAATGTTTAATAGAGCTAGAGTTTATAAAGTGTATCTAATAGAGTTAGAGTTTCTAAAGTGTATCGGCGACAACCGGCGTGACAGAGAAACAGTTGACGGCGGCGGGAAAGCGACTGTCGATATGCTGACCGCCACGTTTGTCTGAATTGGAGCGTATAGGTGCGGCACGGAGCAGCTGTATCAGTCGACGTGGTTGAACCGGGCGCAGTCCTAGCTAACGCACTCGCTCCAGCTGTCTCATCCATTATTAGGTATACGCAACCGGTTCGGAACGAAGCAAGCGAACAAGCAAATCCAGTTTTGAGCTTTGTTCTCTGGTGACGATTTCGCGCTCATCGCAAACACAATTCGATAGAAAGAAAGTATCCGGTCGCTGGAGTTCGTGCAGGAGTGCGGTGGACAAAACCCTTCACGGAATGGAAAGGGTCATCAACGCTGCATTGAACTTCCTATTCTACATGTGCCTGGTCCTTGGAATTCTGTTTCTCGTGCCTATCAGGCTGAGCAGAAGGATCCAAGAAGCATTATTTGCAAGATTATTTTTCCCCGTGGCAATGCTTTTGTTCAACGACAAGCTCAGAAGAGTGCGTCGCCCGACAGTGGGCCAACTGAACGATCTGCTCTCACACGATGACAACCTGAGGAAGCAAGGCACCCTGAGGGTCCTGGAGATCGGCACAGGTTCCGGAGCCAACTTGGAGCACCTGGGGCGGAAGGTGCAGTACTGGACATTGGACCCCAATCCGGAGTTTGGAGCAGACATCCGGAAGCAGCTGAAGAGAAACCCCAACGTGACGATGGAACGGTGGATCCAGGGGTGCGGCGAAGACATGCGGGGCGTCCCCGACGGCCATTTCGACGTCGTGCTGATGACGTATGTCCTCTGCTCTGCGACGGATCCGGAGAGGGTACTCGCGGAATGCAAGCGAGTGCTCGCAAAGGTTGGTGCAATAACCTACTAGGAGTTCTTTAATAGCCTCCCGGTTCCGACACGCCCGCGAAATATCCATGTGCCCAAAAACTCCGTTTAGGTGCACCACTGTCGAAAAAACTGACCGCTTCCGGTGCCGCCTTTATTGAACAGGTGTCAGTAGAAATCCCTGGAACATAATTGCAGTAGTTTAATTACTTTTTCGCAGTATGAAGTAACGTAATGAATTAATTTCTTGTTTATATAATTTAATGAAGTATTGAATTACTTTGCGGCGGTAATTTCAATGACGTTACTTACTTTTTCGCTTTAATCATGTTTTGTGCACCCGCTGAAGAAAACATAGCTCCAACAAGATTGCAGAGGGGAAAGCGTAAAGAAATGCGTTATGTGACCCACGATTATGCACACTTGTACAAAAAAAAAAAAGGAAAGGTTGTAAAACTATTGCAATTGTATCAGTTACTACCTCTATATGACCGTTAATACCTTTTCACTGCTTGTTTGACCTCAAGTACGCTACTTGAAGTAAATGCGGTTGCTACCAGCCAAATAAACGATTCCGAAATCGCTGATGTCACTACAGTAATTCTGGACGAAACGGGCTAGCATTTAGCGCAGGGGTTCTGACTCAGCGGAGAATGAGAATTCCAACCTCGCAATGGACTGCATACTGTTCGGAGAATCCGTCTGTTCCCCAGGGCGTCGGGGGTTTCGGATGCAGTCACCACAGCTTCCCTTGATCGCCGCCTACGGTCCGTATACTGTTGTTTTCGAAGAGCCAATCTTTCCTTCCGGGCGTGGCCGGTTTCGCACAAACAGTGTGGCCGCTGTACCTCGTGTTTACGTTAATGCGTACGTTGTGCCACCTCCAAAGCCGCTGCTCGATCCTTCCTCTCCCGCCAAAGCCGGAAAGTTCTCAATCTCCAGCCCCCCCCCCCCCCCCCCCCCTCCTCCTTTCTTGGATACCGTAGGATAAGCCCCCCTCCATGGATAGTGTAGGGTAAGCATGCTGGCGGCATGATACCTAAACAAATGTCAGCTTTTGTGACCCTATAATGTATCTGTCATTGGAGTTGTGATCAGTGAATTCCGTGGTTCAGGGGCACTGACCGTAAGGAATTGCTTCATGGTTTAGGAAAACAAAATGGGACTTGCAGAACGTATTATTTCGTCTACTTCCGTAAGGTACAGGTCCGCTGAGGTGCCACTGTCGTTATTTGCAACTACTAGTCCAATGTCTTTCGAAGTATTTTCTTGCACTAGCCTTTATCCCCGGCTAAATATAGCGCGGAAATTGACGTCATGTGACTTCAGGTGACACAACATGGTAACGTGATGTACTATCGATTTCCTCGCTAAATGTAGCGGGGAAATAGACGTCACACATTCGTAGTCCTGTCACGTGATACCATTACATCATGTGAGGTAAATGTTCCTGGAAAATTCTGCGTGTAAGTACGAAACAGCTGAATTCGTAGGTGGAACGCTGTATATTAGCGTTGTATATTTTCACTAGAAAGTGGCTGATAAAAGACTTTGTGTGTTGAACAAAGGCGATCTCGTTTGTTTTTCAAACTTAGTAGCTGCCTGCCTGTGCTCTGCCTTCTGTCTGCAAAACGATTAGGAAGTATCGTTTAAATATCTCTTAAAGGGGTTAGGCCACAAATATTAAATGGGTAGATTACGTTTGGGCTAGAATGCTCATGTGCTACTTAATATGTACATCACGTTTTAGCAATTTTTAGAGCTCCAGTAATTAGAATAATCAATTTCCGTATGTTGGTCACTTTTTGTCTGGCGACCTAGTGGCAGTGTCCAAGTTAGTAAAACTATGGAGCCCATAAACCACGTGATCATGAGGTGTAGTTAAGCACTCACTCTTTCTGGGTGCCCCATGCTCGCCCAAGTTCGCCTTGTCACGGTACTATCGCATCGTGCGCTTAAAGGGCAAGGGGGCTCTTGGCCCCTTGCCCTTTGAACTTCCACACAGGGACGCATTTAAGGGGGGGTGCGACCGCCCCTTCTCTCGTAAGCCCCCAACCCCTTAAGGTAAACTCTTTTTAAATTGAAATATTTTATATAAGCCATCCAAAAGTATAGTTTTTTGTGACAGGGCACAGATTTGGTTTAAAAAATAGCTCTGGACAACGTTTCGGCCATAACGTCATGGCCGAAACGTTGCGGAATTCCCACCGAAAAGGGGGGGGGGGGGAGCACTCCTTCTGTGGGAGTTCCACAACTCAGCTAATCTAGTAAAGTTTGTCGTGGTGTCACGGCACGTGGTACCACGTGACGCAACACCATGACTTTATGCCGTGACGTCGCGTGATGAGATGCGTAACGTCAAGTGATCACTTCAGTTCACGTGAATCAGTGCGCAGATAAAAAAAACTTCATAAAAACCCGCCATTTTTCTTACACTGCGCTTCTGCTCATGACGGTATAATTACTCGATAAAAATACAGCTGTCAAGTTTTCGCTAAGTGTCCTGTCCGACGCGCGAGTCAATTTAGCTCGCTTACGCTTACTCCCACCAGGGCGGGCGGCTGCTCTTCGCGGAGCACGTGGCTCACCGCGAGGGCACCTGGGGCCTGGTGCTGCAAAAGATCCTGGATCCCCTGTGGACTTCAATCGGCTGCGGATGCCATGTGACCAGGAGATCCGGAGACATCTTGGCAAAGGCTGGCTTTGCCCATCTCCAGCTCAATGAGCTACTTCTGCCCATGCCTACGCCGGTCTCTAGAAACGTTTGGGGCTACGCTGAGATAGAATAGCTCTAATTGGCGGCGCCACACGCGGCTGCAGATCAGCAGATAATTCTTTTTTTTTTTTTTTTTGTTTTTTGCGATTACAGAGCGGATTAGCAATTTTTCGAGGCAAAGTTGCGATTTTTTTTTTGTAAATTGCAATTAAATAAACAATTTAAAAAAATACTAGCTGCAAATTCTTTCGACATTAAAATCGTCGCACTACCCCTTTAAACGAATAAAACAAATTAGGCCAAGTGTAAACTTTACCCACTTTATGTCCAAACCAGGTACGACCCAACATAACACTTTTTTACAAGTTCCCACCAAGCTGGCTTTCTGATCTACACATATGTATCTCATATCAAGATAAAGAACATTGCATGTTTTATACGACTACAAGTAATAAATACTTCTAAAATCTGACAAAAGGTTAGAATCGTATCATCAAACCTCAGGGGACATGTACTGTACTTTAATATAATCAATTATTTAGAAGATAACAACCTCCTTTAATTTACAAACATGGATTTCGCAAAGCCTACTCTCGCAAAGCCCAACTAACGGCATTTCTTTATGACATTCAAGTAGGTTTTAATACCATCAATCATACTGACGCGTTGTTTGTTTTTTTATTCTTTCAGCGTTTGATAGGGTCCCTCATGAAAGTTCTAACGAAAGGGTTAACGAATCCAAGGTCCTGCCGGCAGTCGTAAAATAGATACCCGATTTAATTATTAACCGCACTCAGTTCACAATCCTTCATAATTCTAACTCCTCCTCATGCTTGGTAACCTCAGGCCGTCCATGGGCCCTTACTCTTTTTAATCTACATTATTTAATTCTGAGCACATCACGTCATCAGTTTAGTCGTTTTCAGATGACTGCGTAATTTACAGGCCCATTGTCTCGCTCGATGATTAACTTACCTTGTGAACAGATATTTCACAAGTCATTCAACGGCGCAATAAATGGCAGATAACTCTAAATATTGACAAATACAAATACCTTTTGTTTCCTGTCGTGCTCTTCTTAAACATTTTGATTACCATCTTGATGACTCCCCCATAGCCGTCTGGAGTTCATGTTAATATCTTGGCATTCATTAGGCACAATACTTTTCATGAACATTTCACATTAATATTATACAAGCAAACACAAGCCGCACCCTCGGCATTCTGCGCCGAAATTCGAGACCCGCAACACCATGAATAAACCACTAGCGCACTCAACTTTAGTGCGATCTATGCTTGAACTCACCTCTTCCGTATGCTGCCCTTCGCAATTTTGCCTGCATGACAAACTTGAATCCATCCAAAACAGAGCTCTGCGCTTTATTTTTTTCTTTCTGAGTATTCAACATTCCCAAAAATACCTGTATTGCACGATAATGCACACCTTCTCACGCTTTCGTGTAATGGGAGTTCGGACAAAATATTGATGGTCATCAATTTTTATAAAATTCTCACCGTGGGATCAATATGTACCCAGGAGTATGTCTACGAAATATCTAATCTAAATATTTATTCAGAACTTCTGAAGCTTTCGAGCACATCCCCGAATCACTGGCTGTCGCTCGAGTGCCAAAGACGAGCGGGTGCCCTCGTGATGTCAAATGTACCCGAGAGCAGACGATGGTCCCTTCTTTACGGCGTCGTGCGTTGTTGTGATAGTATGGTGCCTGGAGCGCGTCTCCGACTAGTGTGTTTAGAGTCCTATCCCACCCATACACTAAAAGTGGCTCCGGAGTGGCAACAAATGACGTCACAGAAGCCAGAGTGTCGGATGTGCCGATCCTGGCGGTCGGTGGTATAAATGCTGGCGAAAAGCACTGGCGAAGGCGAGCGTCGCAATCGTCACGGCGTTCCAACTTTTGGCTGCCCAAGCTTCCGGGGACTGCCACACTGGAGAGCGCCTTGCAGCAGAACAGGCGTCTGCCACTTCCAGCACCGCACCGGGGACACCGCCTGGATCGTAACCGGCGACGGTATCACTTTTCCATGACGTCATCAGAAGGAAATCGAGGGACCACTCTTTTGAACGGGGTAAGTACGCCAGTTGGAGACGCGTAGCGTCTGTGGATTGGCGAATTGTTCTTCGTTTAGGCGATTTTCGGCAGGCAGTGGAGAGAGGGGAAGTTGGTGATGTGCTGTCGGGTGCAATAGCACCTCGAAGGAATGCAACAGAGTGACATCTTATTGTTTTCAGACTGCGAAGTCTCTGTGACGGAAGGGGATACGAGCTGTCCGACGCGAATTCTGAAAAAAAAATTCATAATGAGATTATCATGAAATTTCACGAGCATGAATTCGAAGTATGCGGTTGGAACTTTTGAAAAGTAATTGGAATGAATATGACACTAAATTTCAACCATTGAAAGGGGCAACATACATTCCTCTACCAGATGACAGAGGCTAAGAAGGTTGTGATCAATGTTCAATTTTCAAAATAAGAATAACAAAGGTTTTATGTGGACTGTAATCTCATCATTACACCCAGGATATGTTGAAATATTTTTCAAATATCAGGATGATCAAAATGAAATAAATTTTGACAGCATTGGATTTCCGGTCTTAGCTAAAGAATATACACAATTTGAAAGACAAAACAAAATAACAATTAAAGTGTTTGCCCTCGATGGCACGGTAGGTGTACTCTATAATGGAAAGATAACTGATTATAAAAGTATAGTAAACATACTGAATAAATAACATTATTATTGGATAAAGATTCTAAACAGATTAGCCTCCCTTTGAGAACATAATGGAAAGGTAGCGAACGATGCCTATATCAAACCATGAAGGAAGATATTTTAAATGACCACAAAGAAACTTGTAAAACACATAAATAACTGAATTGGAAAAGTTGTATTACCAAAACCTAGTTATATTGAATTCAATAAGTATTTTCGTGAACTCAGAATTTCGTTTTCTATCTATGCTAATTTCCAATCGGTTCTCCAGCCAAGAGATGATAATGCAAGAACGAGAGACCAAAATCACATACCATCCAGTTTTCTTTTTAATTTATGTTGAGTGCTTACAATAATATAGGTGTTCCAAAATGTCAACGTTGCGGTTGGGATAGTATGCGAAAGTTTGAGAACATCACGTTATCTGGATCAAAAGATAAAAGGGAGAGACGAAATGTCTCTGCCGACCTCCACTTATAGTAATTAATTTGTCACAACAAAAAGATAACACCGTCAGTGCCTGTTGCACCTATTTGAGGGAAATAAACTTGTTAACGAGAAAGGCAATATTCTGTTTCTCCTTGCTAACAAGTTTTTTTACTGAAATAGTTGCAACAGGTGCCCACTGTTTTATTTCATCCCTTGACAAAATGAGAAATAATTACACCGTTCTCATGCTTGCAACGGTGCAATTGTATCGAATAATACGTTTTGCGTTCTTCGGAGAAGTATCACGTTTGTGAATATGTCAGGAATAATTAGCTATGTGTCATGATGTCGCTTTAATAAAATCGATTAAAACGATTCAGTTCGTTTGTGTGTGCGATTGATCTAAGGATTGATATGCAACGGACGATACAGAGCAGAATCACACGACGGACAGACAATATAGAGCCCACGCATATGCCGATACCAGTGCAACCGTCCGGTCCGTGGAGTACTCGCATGCTATCGCGCCGGCACGAACCTGGTGGCGAAACGGCCGTTCGCCAATACCTGCCCGATATCGGGCTGTGGGGCAAACCTGCACATTGGGCCGATATTGGGACCGATTTTCGCTCAGCAATGACACGACACTGGCCAAGTATCGCCGTGCAACTTGAGATAATTTTAGATTTTTAGATTTAACTGTTCTGTATCAAGGGAGAGAACGAATGGAGGTTGTGCAGAGTTTGCTTCTCCATCAAGTTGACCTTTGACGGTAACATTCAGGAGACAATTGCAAAGATATACCAAGGCCTCTATATTTTTTGAATAAAATGTTGAATGTAAGAAACTAAAGATCCAATTTTGAAACAAAGGGTCTTGTAGAATAAATCGTACCAGTCAATGGAACAATACAAACGTAAGCACGACGTCTGTAAAGTATTTGTTTCCCTCGGGCTACTAACAAATGGAATATCCTATCGAATAAAATTACAACCTTTCCGTCATTGGAGGGCTTTGTGGACGCGATTACTCCTGTCGTGATACAGTGCTCACTGAATATCAGACGGCATGCTACACAATCTTATGTTTCTCTGAACCCCCCCCCCCCCCCCCCCCCCCCCCCCTGTTACGGCTCACATCCGTGGTACGCAGTATCTTCTAATAAATAACTACATGCACACGTAGAAAGACGTTTTGATGGATTTCACTCGCCGCGGTTCTTGAGTAGCTGCCGTAGCCGTGGGTGCTCCGAAACGGTGGTTCGTCAGATTCGGCTCTTGCTTGAGGTATTCGTAGGTGTTTTGATCCGGCGGGAAAATGATGACGACTTTCACTTCCGTAGCATCTGCCTATGCTGACGACCACACGAAACCTTGTCGCCTGAGCACTGATATTTGTTCGGGCCTACTTGTGAGAACCACGATTTTTGGGTCTACTAGACAGAATGTCAGCGATCATGTTCCGACGGCTTCTATCACTGAACAGAACGATAACGCGGTCCTTCCCGACGCCGGGCCTCGAGCACGCGCTCGCTGCCCTCTGTCATAGCGTCTTATATACTGACAAAGCCTGGCAGTTCGCCACGAGAAGCAGCCGCCGAAATGGAAAAGATTGAGCGGCAGACAACGGTTGAGAGGAGAGCCACGTGACTGGCGCCTCACTGCGGCGAGACGCCGAAACACACTTCTCCCGAGCGAAAAAATGTGTTTCGGGTCCTCGCCGCTACAAAAGATGTGCGCTGACGTCCAGCTTCCCCGAGAAATGGTTCTTTAATGCTCTGGGCTACCAAATCCTCGCGCTCCAAAACTGCTACCGGGCACTCTAAGGCTCCGTGAACGAACTGCGAGGCATTTTCCTGTGTCCTGCTCTGGCTACGCGTCCACTCTCGAGGCTCGCGAGACGCCGAATTGCCATCGAATGCAGGAAGTTTGCGCTGGAGGCGGGACAGCTGGATAATCATCTTGTCGTCCTAATCCTATCAGTGAC